TCGTCTGGTTATGGTGCAGCGCCTGCTGAGCTCCGCTGAATACAAGATGGACCCCATGGTTTCTCTCTACTACTTCGCCCCCATCTGCGCTGTGATGAACGGTGCCGTTGCCCTCTTCCTGGAGGTTCCCCATGTCACCATGGACCACATCTACGGTGTTGGATTAATGACTCTGTTTGCCAACGCCATGGTTGCCTTCTTGCTCAACGTATCCGTTGTTTTCCTGATTGGCAAGACTTCGTCTCTGGTCATGACTCTGTGCGGTGTTCTGAAGGATATTCTCCTTGTTGCCGCTTCCATGTTCATCTGGAACACCCCTGTCACCCCTCTCCAATTCTTCGGTTACTCTATTGCCCTCTTCGGTCTTGTTTACTACAAGCTTGGTGGTGACAAGATCCGCGAGTACACTGGCTCTGCCAATCGCGCCTGGGCCGAGTACGGCAACACTCACCCTGCCCAGCGCAAGTTTGTGATCTTTGGCGCCGCTGCTCTGAGCTTCTTCCTCTTCGTTGGCTCCATGGCCCCCAGCTACGCCCCCGAGCAGGTTGACCGTGTGAAGGGTATGCTCGGCGGTGCTACCGCGGGTAATGCCTAAATTGCACTCCCCCCGGGGAATTGAATTTAATCGCCACGTGATCTACTGAAATAGATTGCATGGGGGTGATTCCACAGATGGGAGGTTTCTTTGTGTAAGAATTGAACTGGTGGAGTAGAAACCTCTCGGTGGAAGTGAAAACTACGCTGTTCGTGAGGAAGGGTGGAAATCCCTCTCTCGATACTCTTCTCTTTTTTTTCTGACCTATGTATGTACTTACTGGTCCTCCAGAGGCAGCCACGGCGACATGCAGGAAATCCCGCCTGTGGCCGGTCTTCGATTCCGGGGTCCTTGCGGTGTGATGGAAAACGGAGGGCCCCGGCTGTCTTTGACCGCGTTCTTTTTTGCGAACCAATTCCCGTTGATTGATACATCGATGAACTCGATGTTGTTGGCGATTTGCCCTCCCTTTCACCTTTTTTTTCTTTTTCCTTTTTTCCTCTCCCTTTCAAGCAAACATTGATTTGGTGTTAAATTTGCACGAGCTCTGGTGTCGGATTGCTTTGGACCTATTCTGGTGTCTTCATTTCCCTTTCGTGTCCCTATAGTATTTGAAACAATAGAATTTTCAGGGTTGCCCATCCTACCACACCTGCGTAAAAGGATCGACTAGTGTACTGTAATAAGCGCATCTAGGGTGTCCCTAGAGGGTCAGCTAATGCCTATCAGCTGGCACGCCCTGCTGAACCCGGGCCACGCCAAGTGCAGCTGTCGCTCGTCACGGACCCAGGGCTGGGCCTCCGCCATTGGCCAATCGCCCGCAGCACAGCGCCCCACCGCCCCAAACTGCGCGGCGTAACCACCAGCGCCGATTGGCTGCAGCCAAGGGTAAGTTCCCGTACAGCGTACTGTCACATTGGCTCTAAACTGCTTTATCTGGCCTGCATAATGGCGTCTCGTATGGTCATCTCCGCATTAATGCAACAGATGGGTCCGGATCGCCTCAGATCCCTCCCAGTCGCTCTTTCCTCGCGCTTTCCCTCCCTCTCTTTCCTTCCTTCTTCCCTTCTGCATCTTACTTTTCCCACAAATTCGGCTCACTTTTACTTTTCCCTTTCTTCAATCTTTCTTCCTCCTCCTCCCTCCATCCTTTACTATCATCCCGACACCTCTTTTTTTTGTTTCTCTCTTTCTTACTTCCCTCTACCTCTACCTCACGCCTTCTATACTCGTGATCTATACGTGGTAATAGCTTATGGTTTGCTGCTCACCTAACCTCACAGTACAGTTTCCTCCTCTTCGCATCTCAACTCTACATAGCATGTCTCCAATGCTCTTAAATCGTCTCTCCGAGGGCCCCGCCTCGGTTCTCTCTCCCTTCCCAAGAACACGCCTTCGCTCAGTTCCCCTCCCAGTCTTTGCTGGATCCCTCCGGTAACTTCAATGGCTACCCTACCAGCTCAGGCTCGGTCTTCGCCAGCAATGGTCTTGCACAGCCTGCCTCAGACTCAAATATCAGTTCTGCACCTGTCGTGCCCAAGCCGTCTCGAAAGAGGTCGCGTGACGAAGCTGCCTTCGAGGAATCTTTTTCCCTCAACGTTCCCTCCGAACCAAAGCCTCCTCCAGCTCCAGAGGTCGAACCCATCTATGGCGAGGGAATGGTCTTGCTGAACCCCGATACTGGCATGGCTATTTCCGCCGAGAGCCAGACTGGCACATGGTATGAAGAGAGGAGCGAGTCGCAACAAGCCACGGAAGATCCTATCTCGTCGCGTTCAATTGCGCTCCAATCCGATGCTGCCGACATCAGCCGCAAGTCCCAGCGACTCGACCAATCCGCCCCAGGTCTCGACGATATTGCGCTTTCTTCGATCAACCAACGCCTCAATGGTCCCAGCCTTGAAGATCAACACCGCTCGCTCCAGTCTGGGTCTACCCCACCTAATGAGCCTCACATCGACGAAGCTACTCTCCTCCTTGGCATCAGCTGGCAGCGCATCGATTCCGACGATGATATGGCCCCCGCCATCCGTGGCTGGACGAAGTATATCGACAACCAATACGCCAGTCATCTGCAGAGCTCCCAAATGCTTATGAAAAGCCGCGCATTGAACGCTTTCCTTGTTGCTGCGACGCCCATTTCTGCCATTGCACCGGCGTTCTATCTCTTCAATGATGATCTCACCCAGTGCCAGTTAGTGGCTTCATCATGGGACGCTTGCCTGCAGAATCTACGCCAAACCCCCATCCTTTTCGAAGGCGCAACTCCTCTCATTGCAGCCGCTCGATCTGCATCTCCTCCTGCTTCCAATCCTTTTACCTCGAATGCAGACGTTGGCGTACCTCTCCTGCAGCAAGCTCTCTCAAGTCACCCGCAAGCGCCCACTGGCTTGGACGCGGGACCGGGACTGAACGGAGGCGTCGAAATGGGGATGGACATCGACTCCTAATTCCATATGCCTCGTTCGTCAGAGGTTCGATCACCACACGACATTGAATCTGCCGTCGATCTCCGACACTTCGCCGTCATCGCCATTTCCGATCGACCGATCGATCGAACCTCGATTTTTTCTTCTTGTTTCTGCCTGATTTATCTGATTGTTCACTGGATTTAGTTCGAATCGCTTGCGCCCAACTTACCAGTTCGGCAGCATCGTCCAGTTTTTTTTTTGCCCCGGGTGGGTGGGCATACGGGGGGGGGGTAGTGGTGTTTTTCTGGTTTCACCGGCAGGGATTGGTTCTGGCGTCGTAAATGCAGGTTTAGTTTTAGTTCTGCATGTGTTTTTTTTTGGATTTGGACTCTATCTATTTTGAATTACGACTGAAAATGAAGAACAAGACTTGATTTAAAAACCTCTTCCTAAACATCCGGGGTAACCTTGGAAGGTGATGTGGTGGGGTCGGTGGGCTTCGACTCATTTCCTACTAGCACTATCATATACTGGCATGAGACTCGGATCTGTTTCAGTAATAAGGGCTTATAGTAGGCTTATACTCCAAGTGCTATTATGTAGAAAACATCTGAATCAAAAATACTGTGACTTGGCCTCCAGGAATTTCGAATTTTCAGCCCCCAATTTGAACGACACACCTCTCACTGCCAACTTGTCAAATACAAGTCGATGCTTCTCATCAGTAAAGGTCGCAAACTTAGGATGCGTAAATCCCTGTCCATTGTCATAATCGGGCCCAATCTCAAAACACTGGCCGCTCACGGGATTAGAACCGAGGAGCTGTTCACAAGCATCGACAGCGCCATGAAGTGGGGTAAGCAGGCCTTCACTCTCCAAAGCGTCAAAAAATTCCGGCGTAGAAATATTCGTTCTCATCACGCTAGGAATCAGACAGTTCAACGTGATTCCTTCAGCTGGTAACTCCGGTCCCCATGAGCGTACCAAGCCAGTCACGGCGTGCTTGGATGCTGCGTAGATTGATAGACCAGGACTTGGGTAGACTCCGCAGACAGAGCCCGCGACAACCACTTTCAAGTTGAATTTATAACTATTTTAGCGGTTGATGGATACTAGTAGCAAGTACTGGAGATCAGATATACACACCTTTCCCACGGAAACCATGTGAATTCGCCGTCTGTCGGCGGAACTGCTGCACTCCCAGCGAAACAGTCATCAGCATGCCATGAACATTGACTTCCGTCACCGAAAGATTGGGCTTCTGAAAATCTCCATTCGTCTGTGTGGGTGGCATCCAGTCGTTTGACCCTATCCCCGCGATGGCGAATACATAATCTACCCGTCCAAAAAGCTCCACGGCCTTCTTGAATCCAGCGACTTGGGATTCCCAAGAAGTCACGTCGACAGTAGCAAAGTCTCCTCCGATCTCTTGAGCTGTTGCTTCCGCACCGGCCGTATTACGGTCTGCGATGAATGATTTGATACCCTTGGAGGCTAGCTGTATGGCAACGGCTTTGCCGAGTCCGCTAGCACCGCCGGTGATATACGCGTATTCTTGCGCCATGTCTGAGGATAAAGTATCTGCTTTAAGACCCGGGAGTAAATTTGGATGATAAACCTCAAAGACACAGGAGAGAGGTGCTGAGCTAGAAGCTAGAGGAATCAAGTGAAGAAAACATTGCGTGTTTAGTAACTACCCCTCCCTACGGATCCCAGTTGCAGCTAGCAAATAGAACCTCGCTCTGGATGTACGAGAAGAACGATTGGGCCTATTATCTGATGGAATGGTCTTGCCAATGCGGGGTGATGTGATACTGCATACAAACATCCGGAGAGTGGAGTGTGTCGAGGGGTATTTTGAAAAAGTCGGAGACTGGCTGTCCGAGTGTAGTACAGGTACAGGTACATACATCAGAGATGGCAGTCGCTGATAAATCCAAGCTTAACCCCTCGAAGGAAGAGTTCGGTCCCCAAGGTGGCATAGTCCTACATACAAACTTCTCATCTTACCTTTGGATCGTTGGTTAACCTCTTCCTGCAAATTTTACTCAACCATGGGGGAATACAGTCACAATATCCCTGTCCAGCTTGGTAGTAATCGCCCAGGCCCCCACCCTTCATCGTCTAGAAGACCGGTAGATCATCCAGAATGGCATGTTCAGTCTCCGACCGGATACACGGCGGGAACGAACCTCCTAGGCGAGCCCTGGCAAATCGACCGCCCATTCAAAGTGATCGTTATGGGTGCCGGTGCTGCAGGCATTGATTTTTTACATCATGCATCGAATAAATTGGCAGATTTGAATATTGAGGTCAAATGTTTTGAAAAGAACGCTGATGTGGGTGGTACATGGTTTGAAAATCGGTATCCTGGCTGTGCCTGCGATGGCCCATCCCCCAGTTACCAATTTGCTTGGAGACCAAATCCAGATTGGTCGAAATATTATTCCAGTTCCCCGGAGATATGGCAATATCTCAAAGGTATTGTTCTTGATGAAGGCTTGGATCGATATATTCAACTCCGAACTGAAGTCACTGAGGCGAGATGGGATGACAAGAACGGGAGGTGGGTACTTACACTATGTCGGGCGGATGATTTAGCTTCGTGGACAGAGCATTGTGATGTGCTTTTGAACGGCACGGGATTCCTGAAGTGAGCTGCCGAATCATGATTTTGGATGATGGGGCAATCGCTCATTGAAATAGTGCTTGGAAATGGCCAACCATTCCTGGTCTACATTCCTTTCAAGGACGTCTTTTCCACACTGCTCGTTATGAGGAAGGCTTTGATCTCAAACACAAACGAGTCGCCATAATTGGATCTGGTAGCTCTGGCGTCCAGGCAGTAGCTTCTGTTTACTCGGATGTATCGAAGCTTTATACCTGGGTTTGCAGCCCTACTTGGATTACGGCGGGGTTTGCACAGAAATACGCTGGCAAGGATGGAGCAAACTTTGAGTGTGAGTAATAATCATTTACATTATTGCATGTAGCTTATCTGTTTAGATTCTGAGAAAGAAAAATCCGAATGGCGTCAAGATCCTGAGAGATACCGTGAATACAGGAAGATGATCGAGGATGAAATCAATCTACGGTACCGGGCAGTTTTACGCAATACTGCTGAATCCCAAAAGGGCGCCGAGGTAGGCTTATTGATGCATAGGTTATAAATAGGTAGAATTTCTGACTACTTCAAGTTCTCATATAGCGAGATGCATAAAAAGCTGGGCGGGGACCCTCGCCTCGTGGACAAAATTATCCCGAAAGACTTCAACGTCGGGTGCCGGCGGCCAACCCGGGAAATGGCTATCTTGAAGCACTTGTAGGAGAAAAGACTACTGTTTTTACCGACACGATCAAAGAAATCATACCAAAGGGCTTTCGGAGCCAGTCTGGGCAAGAGTTTGAGTGTGATGTTATTATATGTGCCACTGGCTTCGACACCTCTTATCGTCCTCGATTCCCTGTCATCGGACTCAATGGTGTCCGGCTTAATGAACGCTGGGCCAAAATCCCTGAATCCTACCTTGGGATCGCAGCTCCGGACATGCCAAATTACTTTATGTTCACAGGGCCATTCACGCCTGTAGCGCAAGGCGCGATTTTACCCATCTTAACCGCAATGAGCAATTATTTTATGCAACTCATCAAGAAGATGTATCTGCATCATATCCGCCGCGTCATACCCAAGGATTCTGTGATTCAGGACTTCATGGAACATGCTCGTGTCTATCTGCCTCGTACCTGCTGGGCAGATCCTTGTACCAGCTGGTTTAAACAGGGTAGACCAGATGGGCCGATCGTCATGTGGCCTGGTTCCCGACTGGCTTTCTTTGAGGCAGTCAAAGAACCTTTATGGGAAGATTTTGATATTCAGTATCATTCAAAAAATCGATTCGGGTTCTTGGGTAGTGGATTTGCTAAATATGAATTTGGAAGTGCGGGCGAGAGTTCTCCGTATTTAAATGGAGAGTTCGTACATACGCGACCAAAGAAGGAGGTGGAGGCTATGATTGAGAGCAACAAGCAAAAAAGTGATGATAAGGCGTTGCCTTGATCGGATTTGTGATTTAATATCCGCACTGAGCCATTGGTGCCGTTTTCACCACGATGTGCGAGTCGGCGAATATCCATCCTATCGGCGGCTTGACATTTCACCTTGGTGACGGCCTTCTAGTCAATCTTCTCTACATAATCTTCTTTCGTTTTATCAGAACTTCCAATTCGGCTTATACCGACACTTTGAATACCTGTGGCCTTCGGCTCGGCTTCCGAAGGGCCATGGGAGGGCAAGGAGGGGTGTCTTGCGCGGTCGGTGAAAAGAAAATCAATCTCTTCGAGGGTGAGATTTGCCGTTTCGGGATAAAAGAAGTATACGATCTTTTCAAGTTAGCCCAAAATCAAAAGAGCTCATAAAATGCGTGCTCTTTCTTACTGGAACAAAAACCAGGTTTAAGCACATGAAAATCAAGTACCCCTTCCACGCAAGATTCTGAATCAAGGTTGGAGTGATCATGACCACGAAGAAATTCCACAACCAATTTGCCGAGATGCCAATTGCCTGCCTGGAATACTGTTAAATTTGCTTCTTGAACCCTCCCCAAGAGAGTACTACTCACCCCTTAGCCCGAACGTGCAGCGGAAGAATTTCCGGTCCATATACCCACGGAATACAATTTACGGATGCGCCAAAGATGAGCATGAACAGAAAGAAGAAGGCCACAGAAGCAGATGCAGTGGACTTTTCAACGGATGTTCCTGTGAGTTAGGTCAGAATAGTTAAAAAAAGGAGATGCAAACGATCCCTTACCCTTGAAGGAAAGAAGGATAGAAATCATCATCATTGAAATAAAGAGGCCAAAAGAGCCCCACATCATTGGCTGGCGACGACCAAATCGATCGGAGAAAAAGGTTGGGTAGAATGAGCCTGTTTTGATATCAGAGGGTCAATACTAGTACCGGTGGTCGTATTTTTGTTTTGGGGCGGCGATGGGAACCGATTACAAACATAATTTGAATCACACCCCCGAGGAGTAGACTCAATTTGCGGCTCAGCCCAACGTTGTCTTGCAGCACTATTCAAAAATATCAGTACCGAGATGGAGATCATCACAATTAGCCTGCTCTACCTACCTGAAGTCACATAGTACTGACAAATGTTAGTATTTACTAAGGAGCACCACTTTCGGTTCCGGGATATCACTCACGACTACCAAATTGATACCGCCCATCTGATTCATGAACTGCATTCCATAAGCTAGCAGCACCCTCTTTCCAGTCTGTACCTCGTCTCTCTTTAGAATCTGTGACCACTTGTATTCACCTTGTAGAGTCTCCAGCTCGATTGCTTGCATAATTTCTGCCGACTCTGACATGATCTTGGGGTCCTCTGCTTCCCTGTCATAAACATCACAAAGTACTTGCAGGGCCTCTGGATGTCTGTTATGACGATAAAGCCAGCGGGGGCTCTCCGGCAACCTAAGTAAATATTCTTGTTAGGTACCACCTTTCGTTAATTCCCAGAAAAGTCCATAGCTCACTCACCCTAATACCAAAAAGACCACCATAATGGCGAAAATTATCTGGCAGGCAATGGGCAGTCGCCAATTGATGGCCCCATGAACATAGCTCATTCCATAGTCAAACCAATATGCGATTACTATACCCACACCCACGAACAGTGGCTCGCTGCACACATACTTCCCGCGCTTCTTTGCCTCGCACAGTTCGGACTGGTATACCGGCACAGTAGTTGTTTCTATACCGGTTCCTATGCCAGTCACAAAGCGCGCAACGAGTAACTGTGCCCTTGAGAATGAGGCTGTCTGTAAAATTGCACCGACCTATGAGAAAGGGGTTAGACTGATATACTAATGGTGACTTTCTCCAAGGTCTTACAATAATCCAAGTCATAGCAAACCACAACGATTTCCGTGGTCCAAGACGGTCTGTTATCAGGAAGGCGACAATTGTGCCCGTGAAGCAACCTAGATTGTAGATCGAAACGATGATCCCCAGGATCCCCGCGCTGGGGTTCTGTACCACCTCCAGGAAGTCTTCATTGCCAACGATTCCCGAGAAAACACCCTGATCATAACCTGTATCTGATTAGCAATTCAAGCCTAAATTAGACTGGCAAGCTTTTTTTTTATTCCACAGACCAAATAAAATAAAGGATAACTGGCATGTGAACATGATAGCCACCCGTAGTGGTCGACCTCGACCGTAGATATCGAGCTTTACCATATTGAGCCACCGTCGATCGGCCTACACTACTGAGAAAGCGAGAGGGGAGCAGGTCAGAAGTTGATAGGCAAGGGAATATCGATGCGGGGAGTTCGAATCGAACCAGGGGAAACCTCCACCGCATGAAGGCGATAGACCCTTTTATATGGGACTAGGTGTAAGTGACACATTAGCCGGCCGAGGGCCGACAAGACTATTCATTGATCAGTCACAGTCAAACGACGGCCTAGTTGACGAATCTGGCATAAAATAGCGCTGGATCGACTGGGGAAAACGTAGAGTAAGATCCTATTGGGGGGTTCCAGCGTGGAAGTTAGGAATAGGACTAACTAACCGGAACAAAGGAAAAGTAGGCCAAGGAAGATAAGATGGCTCAAGTTCCCTGCTCCTCCAACGAAAAAGAAAAATCCCCCAGCTATGGTTGCAGAATAAATTGTATCGGGGATTCTGCTCACGTTGCTGGTATAGGGATATTAACCCAGGGAAGTAGTCCACTCGGTGTCATGTATGTTCAAGTTTAGTTTGATTCCCCGCAACTCGATATGTGAGGGGGTGATCTGTCGGTGAGGAGACCGAAGTCAAGCCAGTGATCGGCGGGGAAGCTTAGTGTTTCTGGGCAGGAATCACTCAGATGCGGCGCTACGGACTTCCGGGTTTGTTGCTGGTGAGAGATAAGGGATCAGGCGTGGGATGGTGGCGCTACGGTGCCTGAGCGTTAGATGCCTAAGAGCATTCCAGGGTTCAGAAAGCCTGGAGGCTTCATGCGAATGATGGATTCTATTGATTTATATTAAGGGTCTCAAAGCAAAACTTCTAGTATAATAATACATGGTATCTTCTTTTGAATCGTGTCAAATTGAAGGGCATGCTATATTCAGCAAGTGCTAGGCAGGGTGAGGATGAAAGTTGAGCCCATTCCCAGACTTAGTCACTATCATAGTCGTAGTCACTATTCTGATCGTAGTAATCATCGTAGTTTCCAGCGAAAGCATCATCAACATGGTCGTCCATTTCATCGTCATCGTCATCTTCCTCCAAATCGTCAGGGTCAGGCGGCGCGTCGTCTGGACGACCATCTTGCTTGGGTGCATCCTTGGTAACAGTCTCGGGGGCTGTTGGAGGGGGAGTTGGAGGGGGGACTGCAACCTGAGAGCGACCGGACTTCGCCGCTGGTGCTGGTATGGCCTGGCCGGCTCGGCGAAAGGAGGCGGCTTCGGGAGGAATGCTAGTGCTGCGACGCGAGACAACACTGCGGCTTCGGCTGCGGCTGCGGCTCACATCTCGATCCATAACATCTCGGCTCACACTCCGGCTCTGGCTGCGGCTGAAGCTTTCCATCTTCGTTTTCTGGTCTTCAGGGACACTATCGCCGCCGTACAGGGTATCCAAAAGGGAATAATTGATTTTCTTGCTGTATCCGCGTCGCTCGAGCATACGCCGAGTCGCCTCGGCTGGGGTGGAAGCACGGGAGCTGCGGCCCTCACCGTCTTGTCCATCCTCAAGGTAGCCAACATCACCCATTCGGCCCTTACGGCGCTTGCGAGGCTTGGAGGAAGAGGCGCCGCCGGTAGCTTCGGCTAGCGCACGCTTGAGAGCCTTTGCCTGTTGGGTGCGGAGGTATTCTTTGTTTGCACTGACCCAAACGCGTTCCTTCAAGTCAACCTCGGCCGGTGAGAGGAGACAGTAGGCGACTTCGGGGTCATCTTCGAATTCATTCTCAGTGATTTCCGTACTGTCTGAGACTTGATTCTGGGGAGGAAGTGCAGCATTTTCGACCATGGTAGAGCCCTTAGCCAACATGTTGCGCATTTCTTCTTCCAGGGCATCTTCAGATGCAATTTGTTCAGCAGATGGAGCAGGGAAAGAGGGGCCTTTTCGTGACTGCTTCGCATTATTCTTGCTTTCGAGGCCTTCCTGTTTTGCCTCTGCGATAACTTCATTCACGGCTTTTGTGATAGACCCACGTCGGACGGGGTTTTCCGTGAGGGCAGGGTCGATGGGGAGGTTAGGTATGGTAAAGCCATCTGCATCGACACGCCGGGGTTGCACAGATCCCGCCTCGCTTTCAGCTACAGAATCATATTCAAGTTCGGCTGCCGTCTCGGGGTGTTTCCGGGAAACTATACTCGGTTTGTGACCCTGGCGCGCCCGAGTGAAAGATGGGGGGTCGTGGGAATTTTCCAGTTGCACCGATCGGAATTGGTCCACAGTCAGCTCACCACTTTCGGTCGAGCTGAACTCGTTCAGACGCTGACTGATGGTGACCTCTGTAACTTTGACAACGTATACAACCTCACGAATGGTACGGCGGAAATTGTTCATTCGTGCGGCCAGGATCAGGGCTGCACCACAGACACCAGCAGGACGTCGACCGGTTGTCATCCAGTCGCGGTTCATTCGTTGAACGATACGCACAGCCTCACCTGCCACGGGCATAGTCAAAGATCCGAACTCCAGTTGTTTAGCGAATCGATAAATCAAGCTTTCCGGGTCGATAGGGTTCATCATAAAAACATTGCCACCAAGGCGCAACTCATCAAGAAGAGCTTTGTAGGTGCGACCCAGTTTGAAGACGTTGATCATCAGCACATCGGCGAAATCGATCAACATGACGGTGTTTCCGTCCTGACGACGACAAGCGATATAAAGACAAACTGCGGCCACAGTCTTGGTGCGACGACCTTGGATAAAGTTCAGCCCGACAGCGAGCTTGAAGACTTGGCCAGCAGCCTTCATGGCACTCTCGGGGATAGTTAACGCTCGCGAGAGCTGGGTGATAAATCGATTGCCATTTTGTTCAGTCATTTCTCGGCTTTCCATGCCACCTCCCCGCTGGAAGCCGGGGCCAAAGCTGCGCACATGGGTCTGATCTTCACCCACAAAAGTACCTTGAACGACGGCAGCACCAGATGAGCTTTCGCCGAATGTGACCTCTGACACAATATTGGATTCACTGATGACGGTACCACAGCCTGTACAGACTTTCTGTCCCTCTTCGTCCACAATTTGAGGTGCCGGGCAACCAGGGTTTGGACAGCTTGAAGTCTTCGGATGAGTTGTTGGCCGGGTAGGTTGAGGGCGACCAGTGGGCTGGGGACGTTTGATCGGGGTTGAACTTGAGGGTTTCGTGCTCGCAAGACGTCCTACTGGGCCTCTCCGGGGAGTAATAGAGATACGCGTGGGAGGTCTTGCTGCCCCGAGTTTGGGGGTGGGCTTCGAGGTTGACATGGTTGAGACGAAGGTAGGTGATGGGTGAGGTCTCGGTTGTTACCTTAGATGTCGCGGGGGGTGAGTGAAAGGCAATCGGGTCAGACAGACTCAGTGGGCATCGAAACCCAATTATAAGGCGTCAGGAATGGCTGCAATAAGCATAGAGAGGGAGGAATCGAGATAATTGGAAAGTTGAAGGCTGGTTGATGGTTGAAGATGAAGATGAAGATGAAGATGAAAGTGAGGGCGAGGTCGGGGATGAAGGTGAGGCAAGAAATGGCCGGATTGAGGGAAAGATCCGGGTCCTAGCCTGCTAGTCCCAGATCACAATACCGACGGTCTTGGTGAAATGTCGTCCGAAAGAACTTCTTCTAGATGATAAAGTAACCCTAAAGGGCATAAAAAAGATAAGTGATAAGAGGAGAACGCGAAGTGGTGTGGGGCGAGGTGGTGAAGGGATTTTTCGTGGTGAAGTCTCCCGCGTGGTCCAGCGGCGCAGGCACGTGACACTCTGCAAAGAGGGGCGCGCGTTCAATTCGGGGTCAATTCCAGGAGAATCGATTATTTACTAATTTACTACAACTGTGAGTCATAAACGGTATACAGTAGTATTACTAGTAGTATATCGGATATACTATTATTACTATACTATATACTACTATAGAGTATACTATTCTCTTACTATGCATGCGTAGAGTCATGTGGGAGAGAGTCGTGCCTGCCTCCAGTCCCAGCAACGGGACCAACGAACAAGGAAGGAGCTGTTGCACTGTGCACATGGCTACCGTGACTGCCATGACTGCCATGACTGCCATGGCCAACCTTGCAACGAAGCTGGCTCGCTTTTCAATCCTGCACCTCCTTCGGACATATCCTTGACGACAGCCCTTGACATTCCCCGTTCCCCACCCCGAACCTAGCCACATACTGCACGAGGGCCATGGCTCGAGAGACGTCTGGAATGCGGTTGCGGTATTTGTGCGTAGAGAGGCAACCCCACGCACAAATGGCGCATCTTCGCCCTTCGCGGTCCCTCCACCGGCTTCCAGGACCTTTCTTTCTTTCTTTAAAATAAAACATTATGACAATCCGATTCATTCTTGGATTCCCATCTTTTCTTCTTTCTGTAACCTCTACTGTCGCATGTGCCGCTCGGCTTTGCGATTCCGCCATCATCAAAGCTGATCACTAGGACCCGCGCGGTACCCCTGGGTTCTTAATACTCAATATCCACCCCCCTGAACATTGAAAATTGAAGAAATCTTGCTTCAACATTTTCGAGATCTCGATCAGATCTGTCATTCCCCCATCGGTGATCGATCTATCTTTTCCTCTCCACAGCTACACGCCTTTCATATACTTCGCCCCCAGCAGGCCGAAAAAGCCTGTCGCGGCACAATATGCAGGCGCAAACTTCCGAGACCCACTCGCGAAGAAGCGTGTTTTGGGTGAGCAATGTTCATTGCTCGTCTTGTGTCGCCTATATCACCGAAGTTCTCACCGAAATACCTACCGTCACAGATATTGATGTCTCAATCCTGACACACGAAGTCCGCGTCTCCCATGGCGCCTCGGCCCATCCAGCAGACCTCGTTGTCGCCCTCATTCAGGCCGCCTTTGAAGTATACCATGCCACAACCTTTGATGAGCGTGGTTCAATCGTTTCTGAGCTTGATACCACTTCATGGAATAACCGCAGCTCACATGTACTTTCCACGCCCCGGACATCTTATTCCAGCATCTCTTCCAACATTAAAGAGCGACTGTATTCAAGCAGAGAAAAACGACACATTGCCAACTGTGAGGCCTGCCAAAAGGAAGAGGCCGATAGACTTTCTTTGCACTCCACCCAGACCGAGCCATTTCCTCAGAAGTACCCCAAAGATATCGCAGAGGAAAAAGAAATCGAATCTTCTTTCCCATCAGGTCCACAGGATGGAGTCTACTCGCCATCATCGAGGAAGTCCAATGAGAATGGCCAATCCTCTGAAACCCCTCAGTCACCACCGACAACCGATGAATTTAACGCACGAATCGGTATTGGAGGGATGAGTTGCGCCTCGTGTGCTAATGGCATCACTGCTGCGGTCGAGCAGTTGGAATATGTCAAAGAAATTCAAGTCAACCTCCTCACCAATAGTGCGACAGTGGTATATACTGGTCCTCGAGAGAATATTGACTTAATCACGGAACAAATCGAGGACATTGGATTTGATGCTTTTTTGGACGAAGTCAATCAGGTCGCTCAGGATTCAACCTCGGGGAAACCCCAAATTTCGTCGGGATTTGTTACAGAAATCGCGATTACTGGAATGACCTGTGGATCATGCGTCGGAGCAGTAACCCGAGGATTGGAAGAGCTGCCATTTATTCGAAATATCTCTGTGAACCTTTTGTCACATAGTGGCATGATTGAATTTGAAGGAAAAGAAAATCTAGACAAGATTGTGGAAAAGATTGAGGATCTGGGCTACGATGCCGTTGTCAACAATTTCCATCCTCTGGACGATGTCAAGGATGAAGCTAGGCCTCTTCAGCCCAGAGTGGTCTCGATTCATGTTGATGGGATGTTCTGTCGTCATTGTCCAGAGAAGGTTCTCTCCGCCATTGAATTGCTGCCGGGCGTCACAGTGGAAGGGACCATTTGCGAGGCCAAGCCTATCCTCAAAATCACATATCTGCCACAGCCATCTTTGACGATTCGTTCGATACTCGCTGCCATTACAGATGCTAACGGCGCATTCACCGCTAGCATCTACCACCCTCCAACTATCGAAGATCGCTCCCGTGCGATACAACTGCATGAACGACGCAGACTACTCGCTCGCCTACTATTTGTTTTTGCTGCTGCCATCCCAACTTTTCTTATTGGTATCGTCTTTATGTCTCTTGTCTCATCAGAAAACCCGATCCGCATGTATCTTGAGCAAGCTATCTGGTCTGGTAGCGTCACTCGCATCGAATGGGCACTTTTTATAATGTCTACTCCAGTTATGGTTTATGGTACCGACGTATTTCACACCCGAGCCCTAAAGGAGATCCACGCTCTATGGCGCCCTGGAAGCCGAGTGCCGATCATGCGGAGGTTCTATCGCTTTGGTAGCATGAACCTCTTGATATCAGCAGGAACTTCGGTTGCATACTTTTCATCGCTGGCTGTACTTATCGTCGATGCTGTTGCGGGAAGTAACAAAAGTGCCCACAGCACCACCTACTTCGACTCCGTCGTCTTCTTGACCTTGTTTATTCTTTGTGGTCGGTTCTTGGAGGCATACAGCAAAGCCAAAACAGGAGATGCAGTTTCCTCGTTGGGGAAGCTTCGGCCCTCCGAGGCACTCCTGGTTGAAAATCAGGCCCCTGAAACCGCTCATACCCCTGACGGTCCAGTTTCAGACCAAATGACACGAGTCAGCGTTGACCTTTTGGAGGTCGGTGATACAGTACGCATTCCTCATGGTGCCTCTCCGCCTGCAGATGGTGTTGTTGTCGGCGATGCCTCTTATCAATTTGATGAGAGCTCTTTGACCGGGGAATCCCGTCCTGTCAAGAAAACGGCTGGTGACAACGTTTATACCGGCTCCGTCAATGTCGGCCAACCGGTGCATATTAAAATCACCGAACTTGGAGGGTCGTCTATGCTTGATCGAATCATTGCCATTGTACGCGAAGGCCAAAGCAAGCGTGCGCCTCTTGAAAGAGTTGCTGATATGCTCACCTCCCATTTTGTTCCTGTTATAACTCTCATTTCCATACTTACTTTCGTGATTTGGCTCGCTCTAGGTCATGCGGGCGTCCTGTCCCAGGATTATCTTGACATCGTCCGCGGTGGTTGGACTTTTTGGAGTCTGGAGTTTGCGATTGCCGTTTTTGTGGTTGCTTGCCCTTGTGGTCTGGCACTCGCCGCTCCCACTGCGTTGTTTGTCGGAGGTGGCCTCGCTGCAAAGCACGGTATCCTCGTCAAGGGTGGCGGAGAAGCCTTCCAAGAAGCTAGCCGTCTTGACGCCATTGTCTTCGATAAGACCGGTACCTTGACTGAGGGTGGAAGCCTTAAAGTTTCCGACCATGAAGTCTTGACAACTGACGGCGGGCTAGTGACGATCGCATGGGCACTTGCTCAGAAAATGGAAGAAAGCAGCAATCATCCGATCGCACAGGCCATCACTACTTTTTGCCGGACTCAGTCAACAGCAACCGTTGAATCTTCTGATATTCAAGAGATTTCTGGTCAGGGTATGAAGGGGACTTTCACTGTTTCCCCTGTTGCATCTGGGCCCGTGGAAAAATACGAAGCTGCCATCGGCAACGAACGTCTTCTGCACAGCATTCTACCTTCTGAAAATGACACCTACTTCGTGTCAAATCTGCTGTCAAAGTTTCAGTCAGCAGGCAAATCAACTGCTATCCTCTCCGTGCGCCGCATCGATTCGGATTCTGCAGAGACATCTCCGTTCATCCCCGCAATTATTTTCGCAACTTCAGACACCATTCGGCCAGAGGCTATTGAAGTCATCTCCAAACTCAACAGTCGCCATGTTGAGGTCTTCATGTGCACGGGTGACAACCAGACAACCGCCCACGCAGTTGCCGACATGCTGGGAATCCCCCGTTCCAACGTCATGGCCAACGTCCTGCCAGCAGAAAAGGCAAGTTTCGTCCGACAGGTCCAAGAAGGGTCAGTGAAAACGTTGTCTCCCGGAACCGAAGTCAGGGTATCAAAGAATTCAAAGGCAACTCGCCCTATCGTCGCCTTTGTTGGAGACGGTGTCAACGATTCCCCGGCTCTTGCTGCCGCAGACGTGAGCATTGCTATGGCCTCAGGCTCTGACGTCGCCATCAACTCTGCCAGTTTCATCCTTCTCAACTCGGATCTTAGCACCATCCTGCAGCTTGTTCTTCTTAGTCGACGTGTATTCAACCGCGTTCGGATGAACTTTGGCTGGGCTGTTATTTACAACTTGTGTCTTGTCCCTGTCGCAGCAGGTGTTTTTTACCCTATCGTCAGTGGTCAGCATGAGAAGATGATTGGGCATGAAACAGTGACTGTTAACGAACACTGGAGATTGAGTCCTGTGTGGGCTGCTCTAGCTATGGCTCTGAGCAGTATCTCTGTTGTGACCAGTAGCCTGGCGCTCAGAATTGATGGGCAGACTATTCGGAGGCTTTTCAGTCGGAAGAAGTAATCTTGTATGCAAACAAGACTGTATGATTGATGATTTTCATTTTTTTCTGCACAGCGGCTCTCACATCAGATGCAAGTTCCCTTTCTGTATCTAATAGTCAATACAATTATTAACTACATTCCCCTCATTTCCCGCCTTCGCCCCAGATTTCTGCGATTTTTTTGCTCTGGGCTTTGCCCACCTTCTTCCTCCCCACTAAAGATTGCAGTTTTTCGGAGACCATTGTCTCTCGATTTTGAGGCTCCAAAGCCATGTATGCCTCGACAAATGCACGAGGAGTTTGCCATCGTCGCTGGATTTCTAGCGCCTTTTCGCCGCTCACGCCACGAGTACACATGAGCATTTTAAGGAAGATATCACGGAGGGATAAGACGTCGGACTTCGATGTTAGCGCCGAGAAGGTAGAAAATGTGACGCCGTATGTGAGGGTAGGATCTTTGGCGCGAAGTTCATCAAGAAGAGCCAGGTAGGATTGTGTGGAGGACAGTCGTCGACTTGGAATGAATGAAACCTTTTTCGGGTCTGGAGTGTTCGGGGGTAGGCAAGAGCTCATATCTTCGTTTGAGGGGGCCTCTTGAGCACCATACATCTTTCTAAGAAGCAGGGTCATACGGGCCAGATATCGAATAGAGTCGTCAAGGTTTTTCGTCTTTTTCATGAAATACCCATTGACGACTTGGGTCGAAGCAATTGCAGAAGCGACCATCTCGTGGTACTTCGGCCCGCTCCCGCTCCCAGCATCTGGGTGAGTGACTGTGAATTCCTCGACGAGGTAGATGATATTTTTGATACCAGATCGGCGCAGACGGAACTTCTGCTCGTGAAATCGGCCATCTTTGATGGAGCCGATAAGATCATCTAGGCGTTTTCGTTCGATGATCCAGTCTAGCATCACTTCATCGCCCTCCTCACCATGACGCGACATGAACGCTGGATCGTTGCATTTGGCCACCCACATAACGTCGCCAAGTTCCAGGGCCCGCACTTGCGGAGTGATGCCTTGTTTCATGAGCTCGTTGGCGATGTAGTCGCGATCTGTGGAAGTGCGCACTTCTCGCGTATCGAGTACCAATTGAATCGTGAAGCTGCCTGGGGGTAGAATAACGGGCTCGGTAGGACCTTCGGTATTGGCAGCCAAGCCTAAGATGTGTTGTGGTGTCTCGGACTCGTCGTCATCGTCGTCATTCTGAGCTGTAGTCTGTTGCGAGGTGGATGCCTGATTACCTGCAAAGGGCATCATACTCTCAGAAGATCCAGGGAGAGTCTTCTGAATGCGTTTGGCAACCTCCCAGCCATCCTCGGAGAGAGCATATTTCCTAAGAGGGCGGCCATGTTCGTAGACCAGATCCTTCTGGATCAGCGTCTTCATGGAATTCCATGCGGTGTAGAATTTCGTTGGGTCCGTAGGAGCCGTGAAAGAGCTGTCACAGTACGGTTGAGCCACTTCTACTAGGCGGGACTTGGTCATTCCTGTGAAGCATTTTCTCCCATGGTAGCCAAGCCTAAGAGCAACGCATATGCACCGGATCGTAGAGCTGGAACATATGGCTTAGCTTTGCGGGGCTTCTTAGCAGGTTGGTCTGCAACACCGGTATCGGATGTTCTCTTGTTGCCTATTCCTTACAATTAGCTATGGTTCGGGTGTTGGCATACGGTCTGGTGAGATAGTAATACTGACCTTGACCAGGAGGCTCTGGCATAGGCAAACCATGTTCCCCACAATATGCCTTCAGTTTGTCCGTTAAACGATCGCATAGCTTAGGACCTAGTCCATTCAATTGCTGTGCTTGCGATGGGTGTTGGAATTCCAACGGGCATGCTTTCATTGACTCGTAGGCCTTTTTGTAACTAGAAGTCTGTTAGTTGAGTAATACTGGAAGGGAGTGGAACACGAACACAGTCACGCCTTTGCTGTTCCGCTCACGGGCTTGATCGAGCCACTCCTTGATCCAGCCTAGCAACAGAGGGTTTGCGCAATCCTCGCTCATGATGGTCAGCGGCCATCGGGCTAGCCGAGCTTGTTGGATGGTTGTTCAGCGATACTTGGACGCGCCGCGGATTTCCTCTTTGGGAACGCGATCCTAGCCAGTCATGTGATCATAGCAGCATACTCTAAGGAACAAGCGAAACATCGCAAACAGATCAAGGCAAGTGGATCTGATGGATAATTACAGCCTGGTTCTTTCATGGAATTCGAATGGAATGCCAAAATCAGGTTCAAGCTTTCAAAGTTCGAGAGTTATTTGGATCTGATTTGGCGGCACTGAAGATGACGTCGACACCCTGGCCATGCGGAGTACCAGGCAAGAAACCCTGTAAAAGACCTGCTATGAACCAATCCGTGGGAATATTCAAGGGGTGATCACTTATAGTTGACCTCCGTGGCTACTTTCATCAGTCCTGTTTGATACTTTTCCTTTCTACACCACTTCTCGCTCTTTTACGCCCAATATTGGCTACATACTAACTAGTACTCGGGCACTTTCAAACAGAGCCATCAGTATGGCGAATGCTGTGGACAAGTCCACAAACAATTCCTTGACTCCAGGGGGGGCCAACCGATAGCCATGTTCTTTCCCACGTTGAGCCAGACGAAAAGGGTGCGTCACAACTAGGCGGAGACAGCACAGAGATCATCGACCTCGGATGGACCAAACCTGTTGAACACATTGAAGAGCAATTGATCGCCGGCCTATCGAACGAGAACCTTTGGATGCTGATCCGACGGTTTGATAAGGTACGATTCAAAACCAAGAAGCGATGTATATGTTGACTGATACCCCATCCAAACTTGAAGCAAGTATACAATGTCAAAGCTGTTCCAGACGCTCCACTCCAAAACCTGGACTTGACCCGCGCGGATGACGATGAATTTACCCCAGATAAGCTTCGCGCCACGATCGAGCGATTCTATACATCGGTTGTTGTCACACTCGCGAGTTTTGTTAAGCATGTTGCGCGACTGCGTTCTTGGAAAGAACCTCGACGAACAGCTATATTCTGTCTCGTTTGTCCCCTATCCCAGGAAATGTTGGCCATTATGCTCACTAATTTTAGGTTTATTCCTTAGCATGGCTCCTGGACATCATTCTCCCTTCATTATTCGTCGCTTTGATCGCTTTGGTGATATATCCACCCTGCCGACCCGTTTTGTTCCCACCCGCACCGATCGCTCTAGTGGATAAAAGCACCGGCGGTATCCAAAAGCCCCAAGCGGGAGTGCTTGGGTCGGAAGATAGCATAACTGGTGCCCCTGAAAGGTTCAAGGGAGAGGCAGCCGAGCAGGAAGCTAGCAACCTTGTCGCAAGTGTTGCGAGTGTCGCTGTGGGAAGTGCAGCCGGAAAACATGACCAAGGAGTGCCTGAAGGTGCACCACTAGAGGGTACTGTTCCAGATGTTATGGATGTTGTCGCCAACACGGCCGATGCACAAAGAGCTGCTAGTGGAAGAGTTCCTTCTGAATCACACGACAAAACCCGACAGCCTATGAGAGAATCTGTCATGCAAGCAGCCAATATGGGCATGCAATTGATCAACGACGCCACCGACACTTTCGAGAAACTTTCCAAGTACATGCTTTTCACAAATCTTTGAATTTATAGAGTCTTCTTTCCACCTCTCCATCTAACCATGCTTTATAGTGCCTTGTCCGCTACCCCGCCATTCCCCCGATGGGTACCCCGTTTGCGGCTAGTATCTGTCCTACTTCCATCCTGCTTCGCGGCTAAATCAATCTCTGTCTATGCTGCTTCAAAGGGAATAGGGCTCTTCGCAGGGTTTGCCTTTTTTGGAGGGCCTATTATCATACGGGGTCTTTCTATCTTGAGCCGGAAATACCCAAATTGGCAGAAGCTTCTCCAGATACAAAAGTTGTTCCCACGCATTTACACATATCCGGGATATATCTGCTAATGATTTCAAAGCTCTCTTCTCAAGGGCGTTCCAACAAATGCTCAACTGACCTTAACACTATTACGAATCGGCGAGGCCAATGCTTCACCACTCCCCCCGCCGTCAACCTCTCAAGACAAGCCTTCCTCGCGCCCAATATCTCTTCATCACGAGGAGCTCGAACTCGGGGCTTCCAGAGAAGAAATCGAAGATGCTGCATCAGCCGAGCCCTCCAAGAAACCAGAGGATACTCCGGTTCATACTTCACAAACAAATACCATAGCCTCCAGTATTATCCGCTTCTTCAGAGGAACCACAGCGACAGGAGTGGAGGGGAAACGAGGTTTCGACCGTATTAGAGCTACGATCGGTTCACGTCATGCAAAAAACCGGGTTGGAGTTCTTCGGTCCAAAGGTAAACTCAGCTCACCAATCGGACCAGTCAAGTTCGATGCCAGATACAAAGGGAAACGCGGCACGGTGATCATCGATTCTACAAGTGAACCTCGGGTGCTCTACTTCACAACTGATCCACTTCAAGATGACGACCTTCAGTTAAAAAACCAGAAGAAAGCCTCTGTCTTGTTTCAGATTCCAGTCGCCGATATTCGAGAAATGAAGAAGCTCGGAGGGCTGGGATGGAAAGGAAAACTGGTGGTTGGCTGGGCGTTGGGAAGCAAAGAAGTTGTTGATGGCTTACAAATTGTGGGCAAAGACCCCAAGGAGTCATTCCAACTTACGGCCATGGGAACTCGGAATCAGTTATTCAATCGTCTGATTGCTATTGATGGACAGGTTTGGGCTTGCTGCTGAATGAACTGTCGAATTTGTGCTAAATCGATCCCAGGTTTGGAAGTAAATTTTACTGGGCTTCTATCACATTTAAATTAGTTCTTGGCACTCGAGCTACATTTCCACGTGTTCCATCAAATTTCATTCATTGTGGAGGGGTAACTTTTGTCCTACTTAATCACCGTATAAAACTTGAAGCCATTCAATAAACCACTCATTCGGCCTCCTCCTCGGCTTCAAGACAAGCATCCACCATCTGAGTGATCCCTTGTGAGCGTTGCTCCTCAGTAAGGCAACCAATAGCTACCAATTCTGTAAGGGCCTCGCCGACCCAGTTGTGACAATTCCAATCCTGGTGATGAGGATCATTTCGTACTGGTATTTGGACACAGGCCTTCTCGATCATACTTTTGGTGATCTCATCTGATGGATTGGAAACCGTAATAAGAGCTTCTATCTTCAATCCCGTGTCCGCTGGGGTACCAGATTGAGGTGAATATTCGAAAAAGGGATGCGCACCGGTGACGTGCAATATTTGGTCTTCGCCGTCTATATATCTCACGTGAAGCGCTGTGTGTCGGTAAATCGCCCAGTCGAGGGGGTCCCCGCGGAAGACTGCGATCGTGAGCGTTGCCGGCATGGTGCTGTTTTGATTTGGTTCAAGAAGCACTTCCAAGGTTTTAGTTTAGACTGGATGCGTTCAACTCCCCAGGGTGAATACGACCAGTTCTAGTCGGAAACCTTGGAAGTGAGAGACTTTGATTGTGTGAATTGTCCACGTAGAGAGCGTGGATGGTCACAAGTTCAAGGCCATCTTGGCTCCAGGGCCAGTCGTGATTGGACGCGCTAGCCTAATGCATATCCACTCATGTCGAAGCTGTCTATCGTGAAGTGGAGAGGAGCAAGACAGCACAGATAAAATACTGATTTGAGTATTAGTATTGACGGTCTTTACAACATGGATATCTCAAAATTCGTAAGAATAATCTCGCCGTGATGAATTGAATCTAACATTGGAATCTTTCCAAGATTCTTGCCGAATGTCCATGAGAGTAAGGTGATTCCATGCATCGCAAGGTTATGATTGTTTTTATGTATCACTCTAAATTTCAAGGTTGTCACGACGACGCCCGACGCCTTATTTGCTATTTACTGAGCTTTCAGCTAAAATGAGAATAAGAAAAAATCTGGATCTCCAGAAACAAGAGAATTGGTCGGAGGAAGAGAGAATGAAGGAGAAGCAAAAAATGGACGAATGGCGATTCGAACGCCAGACTTTTCGCATGCAAAGCGAACACTCTACCAACTGAGTTATACGCCCTTTGGACATTACATCATCGACTTTTGGGATATCCAAGGAAACTTTCTTCAAATCAATTTTGAGATGGAGGGACGGAGGGAGCGGGACACATCGAATAAAAGCTGCATGTAAATCATATCTCCATAGAATGTGGTAAAGAAGCGATCCAGCTTGTAGCTTCCAAGGTTAATGCCGTCCTACCTCAGGGAAATAGCACTATCCAGACACCCTCAATAGTCATTCTACTCCTACCAATAACTAAGTTTTTCATTTTCCATCCATCGGCAAGGGAATGAAGTGAACGATTAACCTTCTGACCAGTGGAGACTCTGAGATTCATATATGAGATCCGATTATCCCTCCAACATTAGAAGCACTCCTGAAATGACCAGATCTACGGCCTACTTGGAAGCAAAGTCGTGACGAACAGCCGAAGTATACAATACGACTGATATAAGATGTATGAAATTATGGCCAGATTTCTGAAATAATGATCTATCTGACATTCTCCATACCGGGGTCATGACTGCTCGTGTTGCTGCTTATAGTCACGCACGGCCTGTTCAAACGATTCATCGCGTTTGAATCCCAGAGAGATAGCCTGGGTATTGTCAAACTGTGTAGGCCAAGACTTCAAGATGGGGATCAATGCTGGATCCTCCTTTTCTTGAAGCAGAGAAAGCTTGTCCTTGCCGCCCACAGCTTCCAGTGCATCCATCATATCCTGGACGGTGGCACAAATACCAGGTACGTTGACCTGGCGGATATGCGGGGGTACAGACTCCGCAGGTAGACTAAGTGTATGAATGAGGTTGCTCACTAAAGTCTTCGGCGAGCAGAGCCATGACTTAAAGGCCCGATCTTCGATAGGAATAACGCACTCCTTGCCATCAAGAGGTTCGCGAATCATGCCCGAGAGGAAAGATGAAGCGGCGGCGGTAGGGGCGCCAGGGCGAACAGATATAGTAGGGAATCGCAGAGTAAATCCAGTAATGAACTTGCGGCGGGTATATTCGTTGACCAGGGTCTCACAGACAATCTTCTCGGCGCCGTAGGAGGATTCGGGGGTAGGAATGACGCTGTCAGTTACGATTTCTGGTAGGGGTTGACCGTAGACAGCCTGGCTGGAAGAGTAGATGACTCGCACCCCGGGCAAGTGTGCCGTAATTCCTCGAGAAGATTGCGAGTCGCATCGATGTTCACGCTCATGCCTAGATCGAAGTTCGCCTCGGACCCGGATGACATGATGCCGTGGAAGGCGTATACTGCATCGAGGGAGGCGGTGACAACCTCCTTGGCACCAGTGAGAAGATCTGACTTGATTGCAGTTGCATTTTCAGGATAGCGAACACCCTTGGGAATCGGAGGTTGATTGATGTCGGTTAGAGTAACGCGGTAGGTAGAGTCGTTGAGCAGTTCCTTGGCCAGCAGTTGGCCGATGAAACCGGCACCGCCGGTGATGAGAACGTGCATTATTTCCGAGTTCGATTAGGGGATTGAGTGAAAATTCAAAGCCCGGGGGAAATTCTTGTTGCTGCCGTTATTTGACTTTAAGAGGCCCCAGGATGTGGTTCTCCGCATTCGCATCAAGTCCGAGGCGATCCGCTGTTGGATCCTCCGCACCGGACTTTGCCCGGCCTGAAGAACATTCAGGGTGGATCTGCTGCACGAATTGACTCCAGCTGCTAACCTCGGGGGTTCCCAAGTCAATGGAATTCCCAGGCTTTGACTGGACCATATTGGCACAGGAACTCGGAAAGCAAGCCGACTTGGAGAGAAGTGCGACGTGATAGGTGATATGATCATCTTATGGGGCCCAGCGGGGATTGGCGTTAGGAACGAGAATCGATCCCAAGAACAGCAGCAGCACCCCCCCGTAGCAATGTAACACTGAAAGCCTCGGAATCGGCATACAATGCCTCGAGACCGGCTGTTGTCGGTGGTGCACAGTCCCTGCAAAGGGCGGATCACAAGCCAAAAGAATCCACTCGGGCTGTCCCGACTTTCTTTCCTCCGCTTCCCCCGCCATCACCAGTTTCCCGGAGCATCACCGACTTTGACTCTTGCTGCGCTGCAATGGATGCCTCTCCTCCACTGAAGCGGTCGTCAACGGACGCCGGTTTGGATTCTCCAAAGGGCTCGAATCGCTCAGATTCCCGTGCACCAGCACCAAGGATATCGAAAGCCCGCGCCTGTGAGTTGCATCCTTCCCCACATTAGCCATCCACATCTCCCTGACAAGTCCTAGGCGCGGAATGCAAGCGCCATAAAATCCGTTGCGAATTCAGGGCTGGCGAAACCAATTGTACGAAATGTGTTCGCAGCGGGATCAAGTGCGTGGTGAACGACTTCTCCCAGAAGTTCGTCGATGATGATGGAGTGTATGTGCGCCGTCGGGCCCCCCCGCCTCCTACTTTCAGGTCATAATTGCACCAGAAAGCTATCTTGAATGGCTATTAACTCGATTGATTATCCAGATGGAAGTCACAAGCGACCACGACACTGCAGCAATTGCAGACTGCCGTTGGGCAATTGTTGCGACAGGCGGGATTGCCCGATCTCTCAACATATACGACCGGTGATGCCCGTAATGGTCTTAGCCCAGCTGCCTCGCACCATAGTCACCGGCCATCGATTGATGCCTCACATACGGCACAAACACATACAAGTCATCATGAGGGACCAGGGGTAGTGATGGACGTCACTCGGGAACACTCCCAAGAGCCCGACCTTCAAGATCCGGAACTCGTTCCGGCACCCATGCGCAGCTTATACGAGGTCACCAAGTTGCGCAATCTACGGAATAATCATATAGAGGCACCTAAAACGACGCTTTTAGAGGAAGATTTTATCTCGAGGGGCTTGATCTCACTCCATGAGGCGGAGGAACTTTTCGCATACTTCAGTCGCACCATGAACCAACTCCTTTGGGGTGGTATCATTCTGGTCCACCGTGATTTGACGTCGGTTCGACGCGCATCAACGCTTCTCTCCGCCGCTGTTCTGACGGTTGCAGCGCTTCATATTCCTAACCGGACTGACACATTGAATTTATGCTATCGCGAATATGTATCTTTGGTATCAAGCATGGCCTTGACCCGAGCTCACACGCTTGACGATATTCGAGGTCTCTGTGTTGGAGCATTTTGGTTGTCGGAGTTGAGCTGGAAGCTATCCGGGCACGCAGTGCGCATTGCGACCGAAATGGGCTTGCATCAGAGCTACCAGCGCTTGATTCGTGGGAATACTGATCAATACGAGCGAGCCCAGTTGTGGTATCTACTATATGTTTGCGACCACCATTTTAGTATCGCCTATGGCCGACCGCCTGTCATACACGAAGATGTGGCCATTCGAAACTACGAGACCTTCCTTGAGTTGCCGATGGTTGCCCCGGGGATATTCGTCTCCTAGCCCAAGTGGCTTTGTTCATGATCTTGACCGAAGCCTATCGGACGTTCGGTAGTGACACGGAGCAAGCCGTGACGGAGGAAGATTTTGGGCAGTTGAGGGTATATAACGTTGCGGTTGATCAATGGAGATTGCTTTGGCAGCCTCGGTCAGGTGTGTGCTACTTGAAATGCCTTTCCCCTTCTTTTATTCTATTCAAGCTTCTAGTTTGATTGTCCACGCAACCAATACTAAACTTTTGCAGGCGACAGTTCGTACGTTCGAACGTATCCATCCAAGGGTGTGGTACTGCACTACCACTTTGCCAAATTCCAACTCAACTCACTATCTTTGCGTGCCCTCTCCCCCTCTAATACCCCGGTCTTCTCCATGGATCGCAAGGAATCTGCCAACATTGCCATATCATCCGCGATGGCCTGTCTGAATATGGTCCTCGAGGAACCCGATATCCGCGACGCGATCGTGGGGGTTCCCATTTTCACGCACACTATGGTGACATTCTCTGCGGTTTTCCTACTCAAGGTCGCTATTAACTGGAATTCGGCATACCTAAGTATCAATGCTCGACAGGTGCGGCGCTTGGTCGAGCGGGTGATTGAGCTGATGAATTGCGTCTCGGCGGGCGAGCGACACTTGACACGGCACATCGCACGAGGATTGGGTAAGATGCTTGAGCGTTTCGACTCATGGGAGTCGGGTTGGCAAATTGGAACGAATAATGGGGTGGTGGATGGACAAGATGTACCAGGGGGTGCCAATGCGATGGCGCAAGGATTTCCACCACCGGACCTGATCTACGACATGGTCGGCACTTATGGGTTCGGGCTCGACGAGAACCTGTTAGACCCGAGCATGGCCAACTTTGAATTCTTGGCACAGTAAGCATGGATTGGAATGTACATAGCTGCTTCTCTCACTCAGAAGTAAGAAAATCGAGGGGGGGGGACACGGGTCTCCCCCATCTTCCCCCGTCCGCGCATCCCCCCCCCAGCTCCAGCTCCACCGGACCGTGTAAGCTATCGCATGTCGTCACCCTCCCAGGGTTGCGCCGCCCCCTCCCTTTCCCTTTCCATTTTCCATTTCCCCCCCCCCAAGGGTTCATTTCCTCCATGCGCTCTCCCATTTAAGATCGGAGGCCCTCGGCTATTCTCTTCCTTTCCCTCCCCCTCTGTACTTCCCTCCTTCCTTTCCCCCTCAAACCTCCCCCAACCACCTCCCCCCCCATATCTTCCATCCCCATCATCCCCGATTCCGTCATGTCCACCCGCAAGAGAAAGAATGACCCGGAGGAGGAGCTTCAGGCTCTCCCCAGTGACGATAGCGAAGAAGAGGAAGAGTAAGCCTTACCATCTCTGCGCCCTTGCGCCTTGCTTCAATTCCACTGGCGCATCACTTTGCGCCCATTTCTATAGAGTTTCAGCCAGATTCGGCTTATGCCTGGTCATTTCGCATCAATCGCGATGGTCCATCATTTCGAATCTACCTTCCTCCCTAGCCAACCGACTACCGCAAGATCCGCGGCTGACATGATGCGCGCATTTATTTAGATATGAGGACTCTGAGCCCAATCTCAGTGATGAGGGCGAAGAGGTAGATGAAGAGGTCGAGTCCGAGTCCGACGAAGATGAAGATGAGGAAGCTGAAGCTGAAGCCGAGGCTGAAGGTTCGTTTGCTCCTAGTTTCAATCCCAAAAATCATCTCCATTCCTACCTTCAGCTCTACCTGAATTGCCCTCTCAAGTCCCATTTGCTCATTTATTCGCGCAGGTCCCCCAGCAGCCAAGAAGCAGAAAACCGCCCCCGCCGCTGACAAAACCGAAGTCACCGAGAACGGCGCCAACGGTGACAAGGATGGCGAGGGGGAGGACGAAGATGAAGATGAAGATGAAGAAGAAGCAGAGGCTGTCAACGATGAAGATGAGGAAGTTGAGGCTGCTGCTGATACGGCGAAGACCAGCGGTCCTGCTGAGGCCGCGGCAAAGGCCAAGGGTGGAGAGGTCCCCAAGGAGTCGGATCTCGCTGAGGTTGACGATGCCGAGTAAATAAGTAGCTACCATAGCTATATTTACCTTGGAATTCAAATCTAAAATTAGTCGCCTCTCCAGGCGAATTGCTGTATCGTCGCACTTGGGAATCATCTTCATTCGTATAAGTTAAACATGGACTGGATCTCCAAAGATTGGCTATAAATAGAATTTCCCATCATGTATTCAGCTGGTCTAACCAAGTGGCTAGCTTGATTCGTAGTCGGTATCCTTTGTCGATTGTACCGAATAGTTGGACTTAGGGCTTGTTTCTGTGGCGGGTATGTCAATCCACACTGCCGAATGCATGTCTAGCGTACTACTAGTAGTACTACTCAGTAACTAATGACTAGTTTAATAGTTTTTTGACTACTAGTACCTGGGCATCTTCCCTGAACCTTCAGTCTGTCTACGTCGGTGAAACCTGGGCTAAATACCTAGTACATTCATGGACTCGGGGTGGTTGCAAAGACTGTATGACCTGCCCAGGTGCCTCTGCCTACATTAAAGCTATACTTACTACTGGTACTACTGGTACTGTTGCTACTTGCCCGCCGTGTGACGGTTTGGAACCTTGGAACGGTCGAGAAAATAAAATATATATACTATATACCTTCTAACCTGCATAGTAACAATAGACCAACAGTAGCTTTCATGAGAAAAAAACAAGGCTCATCAATGAGGTCATTATCGCCTTCCAGCGCCTTTTTAACTGAACACCCACAATTCACCAAACCGACCTTTAAGTATCACTGCCGCTGCTTCGGAAAGTGGCACAAAGCTGGCAATACTGATGGGTGAGATCTAGAACCGGCTGAGGTAGGTTGGTAGCCTGCACAATGCTGCGGACCTTGACGGCTCCCTCATCCTCAATGAGTTTGCGTACCAAGTAGAGAAGATCCGGTGAGAACTATAATTCGATGTTAGCTGGATGGTCCTGTAAGTTTATCCATAAAGAGCAATTCATACCTCAGAATACCAGCGATATTGCCAGGCGATCAGGCGAATCAGCGCACCCAGCATGCCTCTAGTGTCATTTCTCTGTTCGTAAAGCTTGAGGAGACCTCGTGTAGCCTTGGGCGAGAAGCGGGTCCCAAGACAAGCTTGATAAGCCTCAATACCCTCATCGAAGTGGTGTAGGCGTTCGGCAAGCTCGCCTAAAATTTCCCATTCGGTCGCTGACTTCTTGTATTCCGTCGCCTGTTGGCGAGATTGGGCCATCTCAGTGCGCCAGATTGTATAGACTCGCAGGTCCTCGTAGAGTACCATGAAAAGATTATCCAGCCATCGCTCGCACAGACGTTTGTTGTGGAACTGAGTGTAGGCACCGTGGGAAGGATCGGGCTACCAAGATCATTAGTACATTATGCAATTTGGGCTTTCAAACGGGAACTCACATCATCATTTCCTGACTTGACAACTTCCGAGGCCACGGTTTGTTCTGGGCGTTCAATGGAGCTTCCAGTGGCCGCCTCGTCCGTATTCCCGTTCGGCGCATTCTCAGCAGGACCTGACACAGAGCCGGAATCATTTTCATCGTCCTCAGCCTCATCATCCTCTACAGCCTGCCCATTTGTTTCGGCATCCAGAGACTGGGCCGGCTTAGGGACATGTGTACGCTCGACGCGGTATTCCTCCTCCATGACAAAAACCTCGCTCCGGACTCTCAGCAGCTGATCCCAGCCAATTGCTGCAGCAATCTTAGTGAGCAGGTTGTAAGCCTTGAGGAATGTTCCCTGGTAGTTGGCTGCATGCAGCTTGCGGAGAGTAGGGTGGATATAGTCGTGGGGATCGCCCTGCTTGGGCTGGCCCTCATCGATCTCTTCAAGAATGCTTTCAGAAAGGATTGGAAGCATAATGCGAGACGGCTGAGGCATGCGCGGCGTATCCTTGTCCTGATACGTGAACATAGGACAGGAGTTTAGAGTCAGAAGGGCTAAGTCCCATTGCTCCATGCCAACATATACCTCTGCCAGTCGGGCCCAGGTACTGAACTCACTGGGCGCCGCGGTGACTGCCCGCTTGGCGCATTCCAAGGCCATTTGACCCTCACCCTTCTCTTGACAGAAAGAGGCCTGGCAATCAAGGAGGGCATAGTCCATGGGAACATCTTGGAGGGCATCATACATCAATCGTACTGCCTGCACTTCCTCATCCGCCATCAATTGAACACGAGCCAGTAGAGATGATACCTCCACATCCCGTGTGCGCAGCTTCTCAAAGAGGTTGATTCCTGATGTGTAGCGTCCGGTGGTGTAGATATACTTGAGAATACCGGATGTCAGGTGGTTGGTTACGGTGTTAGGAACCTGTGTTTCCGGGTCGGAGCTGAGTTGACGGCCTGTAGGATGGTTAGAAATCATACGGGATTTCCAGGAAATAATTGCATACCCAGGAAGAATAGCTTTTCGGCAGCATCCAAGAACTTATGTTCCATTTCTGTGTTCGTGACTGGGTTGAACCGCCTGACACCAACAATCTTCTTGATGGCGTCTCCACCTCCATTATCAGCATATTGATAAGCCCTCAAGACGGAGCAGAGGAAGGTTTCCAGCCAGAGAGCCTCCGTAGCTACTCGTTTGTCCCCACGCTCGTCGATACAATAACTTTCCAAGCTTCCGGGAATCTTAACCTCAACGCGCATGTCTAGGTGAGAGAATGCATTGTAGCAGCTGTACCAACGTCAGCGGGAGTAACTTCGGTACGCATGATGAATATGAGGAATGCTGACCAGTAAATTCCCGAGACAACCTTGTGTGTCTTATCCAGCGGGGAGAAGGTGAGGGTGTTGACGTAGGCAGCAAGACTCGCGGATGAGGAGGCATCAATTCCGGTCACATGGTGATACACACCGGTCTACAAAGAAAGAGGATCATATCTTGTTAGTAATTATACCACACATTAAACGCAGGGGGGGATTGTAAGGAAGTACCTGGCGGGTGGAATTGGCCTTTGGTTGCTTCACCAAGTACACCAAGTCTGGGGGTCCCAGTTCCCTAAGGCTCTGCAATGAGTCTGAGCGCGCATCGACGGCAACATAAATATCGTCCTCCTCATGGATCCTAGTTAAAAAGCATACGGTCAGTAACAATTCCTAAAGATAGCGCAATTGTAGACCCCGCGTAGAGCGGACAATGGCCAAGCGCATGCATCACCGGGGAACACGTAGACCGGGGGCGTTTCAGGAGTTCAACATACTCTGGAACAGCGGGCGCGACCATGGCGCCTGCACATGCGTCGCAGGATTAGAAAACAAGGGTATTTAACGAAAAGTCAAGAGTCAAATAGAAAGAGAGACAGGTGCTTTAAGGATGGAGGGGGGATTTGAGGAATGGCAGGAGATCCGTCCGAAGGAGCTTCAGGCCATCAGGCAACAAGGCGGAGACCGCCCTTGCCTGATTGGGTTCCGCGCGTGTGCACTTGCGCGCACCCGCGATTGACATTGACATTACCAGGGGTCACTCTCCTTTCTATTGTCGTTCGAATATTCAGGCCTCGGCGATGCGGCCGCCTTTCTTCGATCCCCTCATTCATCCGTGACAGAGTCTCCCGGGGATCCTGACCCTGATTCTGAACCTGAATCATGGCGAGCTGGCTAGCTCTGAATGTTGAACCAGACGATGCAGTTGAAGAAGAGGTCGATGACACCAAGGAACTTCAGATCGAGGAAGCTCTGAAATTGTACCACAATGCCCTTAAACTTCACTCTCAAGGTCCGGAGTTCTACACGCAGGCGGCCGAGGCATATGATGCACTCCTCAATTCGGAGATCTTCAGATACCCCGAATCCATTTCCGACTTCAAGCGAGCAGCTCTTCCAGACGCGCAGGCTGCCGAACCGATCGACGAACCCCCCCACAGATGGCATTGTGGAATATAACGTGAGCGACTCGACATCCAGCCTCTTTCAAACCCTTTACCTGTCCCGCAAGAACTACGGCAAGTTCCTACTCGACGTCCTTCACGAAGCGCTCCGCGAGACCCCCAAGAACGAAGAAGCAGAACAGGAAATATCTCGAAAGACGATCAAAGCATCCAAAAAGGCACTTGCGTCCTTTGCAGAAGCTCTCGAGCGGGACGACACTGATCTCAATCTATGGAGGCAAAGCGCACGACTCGGCAGTGCCCTACAAAGTTACAGGTTGAACCGATTTTGTTTGGAAAGTGTGCTGGCGGATGATGATAACCGACTGGATGTGCGACCTGAACAACTTGGCTTGGAGGAGATCTTCTCGGAGGAGCGACTACGGAACACTCTCAAGTCCCTGTTTGACGGATTGTCTGCCTCTCAAGTTCCAGTCAAGAAACCGAACAAAGCCCTCGCCAAATATCTTCAACGACACGAAGATCTTTATTCTTATCTACCAAACTTACCGGATGACCTTCACTCTCTTGACCCGTCAAGAGGTCCCCTTGCTTTTTCAACATCTTCCTTGGAGGTCACTCCGCCTGAAGCGACGTGGGAATCAATTGGCACATCAATACTGGAAGCCTTCGATAACGAGGATACTCCTTCGATTCCTAGCCGTTTAATTCGAGTCATTCTGCCGGCTAGAGACGCAACACCTGACAACGATGAGGAAATGGATGGTGCTGAGAGTGCCCCTGAGAATGACGATATCGAAGTCAAGCCCGAAAGCGGTGATGTTAACATGCTTGAAAATGGCGAGCACAGCACAAAGCTCGAGAATTTTAAGCCGGATACCACCAAAGCCACAGCAGAGCTAGGCGAGGAGCAGTCATCTATCGACCAAAGCGCAGAGAAACAGCTTATGGAATCCCTCGAAGGCGAATCCACTCAGCCGCCGGAACCACAAGATGAGGCCGAAGATGAGAAAAATCCCGAAGGGATCGATCCAAAATCCCCGTCTGAGTCCCGAAAGAGATCGTCTGCCTCCGCAGCCAACGATGATCAGCTAGAAGGAGGCAGAATGAAAAGTCGACGAACTCGGGCTCGAGAATCGAATGCGGATGGTTTAGTGCAACCAGACGAAATCGCCTTTGATCAAGAAAAGTACTACGAAGATCGGCTAGAGATCTTTGTTAATGCTGACGAGTGGATGTTCAACACTCTGAATTCATTGTTCTCCAAGTTTGGCATGGAGTCGTTAGGTGCAATCGAGAGTATCAAGGCCAAGGTAGTAGTTTCGAATGACTCTGATGACGTACCGGATGAATCGGAGGCTCGATTGCTGAAAGATCTACGCGATATCATCAAGACCTGGAACGATGAAAAATCTCGCCTCCTGCAGCAGAAAGATGAAATTTCTCCTCTTAAGGATATTCGTGGTACCAACCGATCTGGCCTGTCTGTTTTCCTTGAGCATTCACGGAAGGCTACCAGAAAACCTGTCCTCCAAGAAATCCCTGCCGGAGAAAAGGTTTACAATTTTTGTGGCAAAACGAACGAATCTTTATTGCATCAACACGATGCCTTATGCGAGTGGTTGAAATGTCTACTCATGCCAGAATTTGGAGAGCAACTTTCAGAATGGTCCGTGATGAAGTCGGCGTACGAATCTTTCCAATGGCCCGCGAAATTGAAAGAGGCTGTCGCGGAAGCCTTAATACGAGAAGACGAGTTCTTGTACTCGAGGATGAGCGATATTGTTGCAAGACTCGAACGCCGCATCTTTGATTCTAGTGTGGAAACTCCTTTCGAGTATGAGTTAAGTGATTACTCTGAACTTGTAATGATCCAGTCAATATATGAGCTCCACCTTGACATATTTTCCTCCGTCGATGGAATGAGGGGCGGGATTGACCAAGAAAAAAAGCTTACTCAAAGCGACCGTCTTGGTAGATGGGGAATTCTCTCACGTTCGTGCCTGGAGTATTTCATCCAGAAGTGTCCATCCGAAGAATGCCGACAAAATATCTGTCTTCGTCATCTGTGGACGTCAGTGTTCCATCTCAATCTCGCTGGCGAGGCTCAACGTGAACACATTTTGCTCTGCCTTCAAGATTTGAAGCACATACTTCAGTCTCTCAATGAACCCAGCATCAACCTTGTGAACAACTCTGCTATGTCTGAATTATCCACCGAGACGATAGATCAAGAGGTATTGAAACTGAAGTGCATGGATTTCTTTGCCAAGGTGTTCAACCCTGATGACGAGGACCCAGTATCGCTCATTGAAGCGATTGAGCCCATCCTGGAGCCTTCCTCAATCGAGTACCCCGATGGTTTTCTCGAATTGAACGACCTTAACAACCCATCTTCCCATGCTAGTGAAATGGCCTCTTTCCTTGACCGTGGGGATGCTACTTTGCGATTGTTCCTATGGCGCAGACTCCAGGAAGCGTATCAGTCCATCGAATATCCGCCAAAAGTTGTTTCTTGTTACCTGCGCAGCATCGAGACAATCATGACTGAACTCGAAGACGTTAAGCACGCCGAGGAAACAAGCAGTCATCGCCAAGTTACTTTGCTGGGTTGGCTCAAGTCGCTTGATGGAATAATCACCAAGGCTGTACTTCTCATATCGCAGCACACTGAGAAAGCCTACGAATGTATCGATATGGATCACTTGCAAGCATCCATGTCTGCAGTAGCTCGGCTGATCAGAATTCTCCATGGCTTCGTTCTCTATGAAGATTCCATGCGGGTGGGCCAAATTTCCGGGCGGGATCTTAAATCGACACTCGCTAAATCGCTGGAAAATTTCAAAGAGAGAATGCGAGAATTATATGTTCGCTGCTGGGTTCTGCTGTATACCATGTTTTTGGAAGCGATTGCTCAGAACAAGGATATTTTCCCGGATTCAGCGGAAGATCGTATTCATGTCCTTCGAAGCGTGCACAATGCTCTCGGGGTTCGCTCATTGTGCAGATACTCGCAGAAACGTTTCTTGAAGCTCCTGAAATCCGAATTGCTCGCGCTTGAGACCAAGGGCGAGTATGAATTTGATATCTGTCAAGTTCTTTTTGACCTCCACGGAATCAGGTTCTCCCCTGCTGACGGCGCGGCGGACCATGGGTGCCAACCTGAGAAGTTAGACCGATCAACAGCCATCATGATGATCGATTTCGTGATGAAACAAGCACAGAAAATGAATATGAAAGATCTCTCAAAGTCTGAGCTCAAGACTACAGTCGAAAAAATGCAACAAGCGATCGGACCCGCGAAGCCCTCGTCTCAGTCACCCCAGATGACTTTCAACCGCCGCCTTTTCAATAATTACATGAAGGCGCCTATCAATCCCTCAAATCTCCTTCGAGCTGTCCAAGGAGTAGCGGAACTAGCCCTGGTACCGGTACCTGGCGAGAATGCTCAAATAGCCACCAAAGGCTGGTACTTTCTCCTCGGTCATGCCGCCCTCACCAAATTTCGCTCCCAAAAACGCCTCAGTCCCGGCTCAACTGCAGAGTTGGACGACGCAATCAATTTCTTCAGACAGGACCTAGATCACGGATCAGGAATGTGGGAGACCTGGTATCGACTGGCGCAAGCATATGACACCCAGTTGGAGGAGGACATTACGTGGTCGGCAGACAAAATCAACAACAATCGCAGTGATTTAGCAGCCACTCAGCGATATGCTATTCACTGTTATTGCATGGCTGTGTCTGTGGCGATCAGAACCGCCGAACCAACAATGGAGACGCGCATGTTGCTCTCTGAGTTGTACACGGATTTTGGTATCCGTATGTATGCATCTTCGAGAGAACCTTTGTCCATGGGTGCTTTCGGATTATCAGAATTTTCGCGACACTTCAGTAGTGAGGAAAGCCAGCAGATGTACAAAGCTCAACCTTTTAAGGAAATGTCGCTTTACTCTGTCTGGAACTTCGCTAGTAATCTGCTCAGGCGAGCAGTAAATGACAAGCCTCAGCGCTGGTTGTGAGTGTTGCTTTATCTCTCAATCAAGAGTGCCGTGGCGAGTTTGCTAACAGACGTATAGGGCCAATTACTTCCTCGGGAAATGCCTCTGGAAAATGTTTAGCTGTGATGATTCCATGCGGACGACTCGAAGGAAGGTCGAAATGCAGGATGTGATAGACGCGCTGCTTGATTCTATCGCAGCCCTACCGCAGCGAAGGGACTCAAGGGCAGACCCTATATTCGAACCCCATTTTAAACTCTTGTCCGTGGTCCACAAGCTCGTCGTCCGGGGGCGTATGACTGTGAGTGCTCTGTTTCATTTATTGAGGTTAACCCTGACTGACACCAAACCAGCCTGCCGAGGCGAGTAAAACCCTCGCTGTCTCACCTTGGGCTCGTAAAGTCGATGCTCCCGAAAATATTGAAGGCTGGAGATCGTATATGCTCGAAGTCATCAAACGGTTCAAGAGTGCCGACAAATCGAATTGGCATCATCGGATGAGTGCAAAGGTATGTTCAATCCATCCACAAAGTATTTTCACGGGTATGAATTCTGACTCTATTAGGCTGCCCATGTGATTTACGATGACGAGAAGAATGCCACAGCGGCGGTCGCAGCCAAACACGAGATGTCGCAAATATTCACCAAGACGCTTACTATTCAGGTTTGGCGGCCGGAATTCGAACGCCCAGGACGACATTTCGTATACACAACGCGCTATGTTTATTTCTTCGTCAGTCTTTTGGATCAACTTGATGATCGCGCGAGTCTGGATCAGCTCCTGCGTCGGGTCAGAAAGAAGCAAGGCGATTTCATCAACCACACGAAATTGTGGGAAGACGTTTGTTTGACTTACGCGAAGATGATCCGCAGGGCCGCAGGTATCGATGAAGGCCACGAGGAGGGTGTATTCCGGCCAATTGGTTGGGAGGAGTTCTCATCGAAGACTGCTCGGCTTGAAGGCCTTAGCAAGCTCTCTGACGAAACCACGCCAGTCCTTGAACTAATGCGAGACTCCTTGGAGCTTAAAAAGCTCAACAATAACCTGATGAAGGTCACCATGTTTGAGGATCTCATTGCGGACCTGTATGCTCGCATCTATGAACTCAATATGCCTCAGCTTATCGAGCAAGTCAACGAAGAAAATAAGGAGAAGATGAAGGTCGATCATCTTCTCATGGCAGGCGAAGGAACAACGGAAACCTCAACCCCCGCAACTCCTGTTCCGGCTTCTGATACCCCTGCTCCTCGTGGTCGCACCAAGGGTATTGCTCGTCGCGACATCCAGAAACGAGCGGACATGATTGTCAACCTCAAACTTGGTCCGCGCACAGCTACAAGCAAGTTCGCTGCTACCACGGACGCCGAACAAGCACCAGAAACACCGCGCGGGCCTAGCTTGGCTAACATCCCTGGCTATATATCCACACCCCAGGACTCTAGCAAGCAAGTACCTGCAGACGATAGCACGAATGCCCAGAAGGAAAATGTCGACGGCGCTCGTGATAGTGGAAATGAAAGTAATGCGGATGAAACGGACGACACAAAAGCGAACAAACTTTCGAATACCTTGACTGGTCTAAGAAAGAATGAGTCGGGTGACGTTGAAACTGAGAACGAGTACGATGTCGGCAGTGGCAATGAAGGGGCCGATGAAGGTGTCGAGGAGGGCGAAGGCGAATGCGAGGACGAGGGCGAGGGCGAAGGCGAAGAAGACGAAGATGAAGGAGACGGAGGAGATGAAGGAGATGAAGGAGATGAGGGAGATGAGGATGTGGGTGAAGGTGAAGGTGAAGGGGATATCGGAACAACCGAGGTTGAAACTGGCGGGGAAGAAGCGCAGGAGGTCGATGACACGATCGACGAGGACATGCAGGATGGAGACGACGAAGATCAGACTGTCGACGAAAGCAAAATGGCGGACGGTGAGAAGGATGAGTCTGCCAGGGCCACCGATAATGAGCGCGAAGGATCGGCCACAACGATCAAGAACGAGGAAGCCGAGAAAGACACCGGCATGGATACCACCCCTGCATAAAGATCCATATGATTGATTCTCGGCAACTCGTCTTCCTATTTCATTTTTTTTGCGGGATACCGGTTGCATTCTAGGTTTTTCAGCTCGAAGGAGTGGGCGTTGGGTCGGAGCAGTGCCCGTTATTATGTTTTTCACCATTGATACCAGGACGTTTAGGGTCTATCATTTTATCTATCCATTACAAGACGCCAATCCTTCTTCAGCGTAGGAGCAATCGGATTTTTGAAACTAGAACCAAAGGAGGCCAGAGACTCAGACACAAAGGGAAAAACGAAAAATAATTATTTGCAAAATAAAAAATGATACTGGGGAATAACCCTCGAAAGCAATCCACAAAACGCCCCAGCCAAGATTATCCTTGCCCACAGGTGGTATCCAATCGCTAACTTGCCAAAGATGAGCCTTAAAACGCGAAGCCTGAAACATTTGCTCAAACCATAACGATCGTGACAGAATAGATAGGGGTGAGTCGAACTAAATGTCGCTCTCTGGGGCTAAATCCCATTTTCTCGTCGATATTTTTCGCGGCTTTTTACCTGGCGAGGTAGGCGAAGAAGGTGTAAACATGCTATCGGTGAGATGTAGTTGGTTCATGCGCTGAAGTGCGTTCTCGATATCACTCTCTCGACTCAAAAGATTCGAGGGCTTGTTGGGCGACGTGTGCTTTGCTCGGGGCTTTCGGGAGGGTGACTGAGAATTCATTTCTCGCTCGAGGGTGGCAAGACGCCGGCGAAGCTGTTCATTCTCATTCTCTAGTTCTTCCACCCTTTCATTCGATGATTGCTCGGGATCTTCGTAAACTGAATAATCTGTGAGCTTGATGTTTTGATATATCACACAGACGATTGACTTACTGCTGAATCCACGAGAAACGAGTTCGATCTTCTTGTCCACGTGCTCATCATGGTGACCAAGCTAGGGATAATTAGACACTTTCCGAATGAGATTTCGGAATATGCTTACCTGTTCATCCCAGGCCTTCTGCCAGCGTCGACGCTCCTCCTCCATCATGTCATCCATCTCGGCCCAGCACTCCTCCCGAACTTCTTGCTCAATCATGACGCATCTTTCTTCGGCAGCCTTCAGTCGGAATTCTACCTCAGACCGTGCAATTTCTTCTTCGGCAAGTCGAATAGCAATGCTGTGACAATCGTTGTTGAGTCGGTTAATTTCAGCTGCGGCACGCTCTAGTTCCTCGGCGAGGCATAGTTAGGCGAAGCACGTCCACTGGTAGATCGATGGTGACTGGAAGTAGTAGAGACAATTGATCCGGTTAAAGAGGGAACGCGAGGAACTGTCACCTCACGAGCCAATGCAGAATAACGCAATATTTGAGATGTAGCATTGAAATCACCCCAAGGGTCAGCAGTGACAACCATGATTGCCTTCTGAGGATGGTGGCCCCGAGACATTTGGTTGGAAGAAGGGAAGGAATTCGAGAAGAGAAGCTCTGTGAGCTTACACTGACGGAATGGTACAAGAGCGGTCTATGAATTGTATTAGCAGCAGATCAGGAGTGGAAACCACAGGATTTCCTACCTTTGCACCATCCTGGACACTGCTTTGCATCTGTAGGCATTGACCCAGATACATCAAGCTCTCATTGATTTTTCCAGCCTCGGCCAGGGTAGCGCCGGCTGTTTTGGCATTTCTGGCACGTTCAGATCCTGGGAATTTTAGTATGAGCTGAAAGGTAAACACACAATTTTATAACTTACCGGCCAAATCCACGACGGTCAAAGTATTGCCCACCCAGTTTGTCTCGCCATGACGCTTATGCACCTGTTTCTTGACCTCTAGGCAGAAGAAACCGTGGCTTCTAGAGCTGACACTGTTTGATCCAGTACCTGTTACCTTTCGCTCCGTGAGCCCAACGTCTAGAATTGCCAATGCTTCTTCATAGGTACTGCAGGCAATCTTGCGAAGTCCAGCAACCACTTTTCGATCTGGTGATCCCTCAGTTGGCTTAAAAAGTAAATGACGTCGGCGGTCCTTTTGAGGGTTAGCGCCGCGAGACATTGTGTTCCCTTGCCCAGGGACGATCGATGGCGACAAAAGATCGAATATTCTGTCATTGTAAACCTCATACATCGACACCAAGACGACATAATCGGAGTTTGAGTTTAAATCGATGGTGAGGTGGCTAACGTCGGGGAGCCGCGGAGACACAACAGGCCGTTCACGAGGCTGCCGACGGGGAAATGCTAGAGCGGGTGTGGGTTCCTTGAAGACATAAAGTCGTGATTTAGCTAAACGTTCCTCGTACATGTTGGGGCGGGTGTAAGGGAGAGGATGTAAGGATCCATAGGGTTTCCTTCCAAAGGGCTCAGATGATGGTGGATTAAGGCCGAATCGATCTTTGCGAATGGGACTGGATTGTAGATTTGAGTTGGGCTTTTGAAGGCCTTCTCCAGGTGGAAATGGGGGATGTCTCGGGGTCCCGTATCCAGGCGATTCATCAAGGGTGTATAGGGTATTGGGGCTCCGTACCGTAAGTGGGGTGTGCGCTCGGGATGGGCTCATGGGAGTTTGGGCTCTAGAACTTCGGCCACGATCGGAATTGGGGTCTCCATAGACGGCTTCTAGGAAGGTATGGGCGGAGAATAATTGCGCTTCAGAGGCATCCGCTGCGGCCAGTGATGCAAGCATCATGGGACTGATGCTGCCGTCCTCGGTTTTCACGGTGGGTTCCAGCGACCGAAAGATAACATCCAGGGCCATTTGGGTGATGCCGCGTTCGAATTTGGATCCTAGAATGGTGTGACTCTGGATTGCTCATTCAGATTAGTTTCATTCGCCTTGTGTTTACACAGCGATTGCCTGACCTTTCCACTTCCTGTTACTCCTAATGTTGCGACCAGTCCATCTCGACCTTCCTTTAGAACTCCTCTCACCAGGGACTCCATTCCGGTGTCATGAAAAATGTCGAGCTGTGAGGAGGTTTCTTCGAAGACTTTGGTAAAACCAAACTTCTCGACGGCGCGCTTTCGTGAGTCGGTAGGAGGTTCGAGGGTGATATGGGTAGGAACTGGTGCGACAATGTCGGTCTCATTCTGCGATGCCTCCGGTGGCTCGACGGCAAGGAAACGGTCGGATTCATCGACTTTCTGGGCGAGAGGAGGGCGCAAGCGGAGGTAGACTTGAAACAGCGACGCCTGGGGCTGTTTGGAAGGCATGGTGACGACGATGAGGTCGGAGTCTGGATGTGTCCAGAGTGGAAAAGTGGAGGCTCGTCACTGTTGGAAAGTTGCGCAAGTCGAGCAAGTCGAGCGAGTCGAGAACGCGCGCCTTCCCTTGTCTACAGATCTCCCTCGTGCCTTCCCTGTTGGGATGCATTTGTTGTTGACCCGGCAACCATGTCCCAAAGAGGAAAGGTCTGTGCCAAACTTCAAATCTCGCGATCTATAGGTCCCGTGACCTTCCCTGGCAGACTTCACACCTTCTTCAAGTTTCTTGACCGTTAGGAGAACATAATCTTACCGCATCTCTTGTAACGAGCAAGGCTTATTTGGCTTTTCCGGGGACGTGGCAATGAGTTCGTGTTGTGTCGGGCGCACCCACGTGCATACTATGAACAACATTCCCCACCACTGACTCTTTTGAGGGTCCCCGTATTGATAAGCCAGTGAAATATAGCACATCATCCTTTTTCTAGTATTTGAGCCACCAAAGATGCCTACTGATACCACCAAACATGCATCGTTGGCCGTCATTTAAGCCTCGTGAAGATCGTCACCTGGACCGAGCGTTGACCTCGTATTGGGGCCCGGATGGCACTGCGCCACGCGCTTTAGCGGCGAACCTTGAACCAGTCACTGCCACGGATCCGCACTGTGAAAAAAGACCCCCCCATTTACAGTCTTATGATTGGTTTATGTGAGCTCGTTGTTTCTGACCCAATTAGGAAATTTCGTTTTCGCTTGCTTTTTGGCTGAGATCGAGGCTCAACAGGGTTGGAAACTTCCTTTCATCTAGTATTTAAGTCTCGAGATCCCATCCATTCCAGCCATTTGGAAGAATCCTCGTCAAACAACGCAAGTCTAATTTCCAGACCTCATTTTCTAATACCGGTATTGTCTACCATCTACTTTTCTATATCAGATTTGTATACGTACATCACGTGGATTGCGCTGCAACTATGACTTATCGTAAGCTTTGCAGACTATTGGCACTTCCTTGACATAATTCACTGATACGCGGCAGAGGAGGGAAGCCTGTGGTTCTACGCCCCAAACAAAGGTGCACCTATCGCTTTTGCAATACTTTTTGCTCTTTCAGGGGGCATTCACTTCTACCAATGCTGGTATGTCACCTTCTTGCAGTCAAAATCATCCAACTAACCCTTTATAGTCGATATAAATCTTGGAAAGTGACTGGTATTCTCCCATGGTCGGCCCTTCTTTTCACTGCAGGTTTCATTACACGAACCGTCGGTGCATTCGGACAGTGGGGCAACCTTAACCTCTATATTGCAAGTACTGTTCTTCTGTTAGCAGGACCGTAAGATCGCCCTTGGAGCCTACCTAGGTCTTTCTGAGCATTACAGTCCGTTGCTAACCAATTCGCTAGACCCGTCTACGAGGGTGCCAATTTCTTCATACTCGGCCGCATCTTGTACTACATCCCTTACCATTCACCTATCCATCCTGGTCGTGTCTTCACTACATTCATTGCGCTGGGCGCAGCTATCGAAGCTATTACCGCCAACGGAGCTGTTCGAGTTGCAAGCTCCAGTTCTACCCCACACGAGCAAAGCGTTGGCAAAGCCTTGCTTAAGACGGCTCTTATCTTACAACTTGCTCTTATGGTGGCTTTCACCGCACTTGCTGCAAAGTTCCAGATCAACTGCAAGCGAGGCGGGGTGCTGAACTACAAGATAAAACGCTGCTTGCTAGTCCTGTACATCAGCTGTGCACTCATTACAGTCCGCACTATCTACCGCACGGTCGAGTACTTTTCCGCCGCGAGCCTCAACTCGCAGACAGACATCCAGCATATCA